CCTGTCTCCATCTGCCCATCTGTCTCCAGCTCTGTGTCCATTCCCATGTGTGTCTCTGTGTCCCCCTCCCTCTGTCCATCTGTCTGTGTCGCCCTGTCTCTGTGTGTCTGTCCATCTCCATGTCTCCATCCAGGTGTGTGTCTGTGTCTCCCCCTCTGTCGCTGTGTGTCCCTCCCCATCCCTGTGTGTCTCCCTCTCCGTGTCTCTCCATCTCCCTGTCTCCCCATCCATTGGTGTATGTGTCTGTTGGTCTGCCGGTCTGTCCACCATTTCTGTCCGTTGGTCAGTCTGCCCATCCAGCCATCTGTCCACTGGTCTGTCTGTCCATCCATTCGTCCATCTGCCGGTGTGTCTGTCGTTCTGTCCATCCATCTGCCCACCTACCTGTCCATCCGTCAGTCTGTCCACCCAGCTCTCCATCCGTCTGTCTGTCCATCCGTCCATCTGTCTGTCTCTACAGCCATCTTTCCATCCACCTGTCCGTCCACCTGCCTGCCTGTCCATCTGTCCACCCACCTGCCCATCCATCGGTCTGTCCGGCTGTCTGTGTGCCTGTCCATCCATTGGTCAATCTGTCCATCCATCCGTCTGCCAGTCCCTCTGTCCACCTGCCCATGTCAGTTGGTCTGTCTGTCTATTGGTCCATCTGTATGCCAGTCTGTCCATCAGTCTGTCTGTCCCTCTGTCCATCTGTCCGTCCACCCGTCCATCTGTCTGACCACTTCCCATCCATCTGCCCACCTGCCTGTTGGTCCATCCACCCACCTCCTCCCATCCGTCTGCTGGTCCGTCTGTCCACCCACCTGCCCATCTGTTGGTCTATCTGTCCATCCATTGGTCCGCCTGTCTGTCCATCTGCCTGTCCACTTGTCTGTCAGTCTGTCCATCCATCCATCTGCCCACCTGTCGTTCGGTCTGTCCACCCATCTGTCTGTTCATCCATCTGCCCGTTGGTCTGTCCAGCTGTCCATCCATCTGCCCACCCATTTGTCTGTCCTTCTGTCCACCCACCTGTCTGCCCATCCATCCGTCTGCCTGCCCACCTGTCCGTCCGTTGGTCCATACGCCCATCCATCTGTCTGTCCATCTGTTGATCTGTCTGCCTGTCTGTCCTTCTGTCCACCCAACTGCTGGTCCATCTGTCCGTCCTTTGGTCTGTCTGTCCATCTGTACGCTTGTCAGTCCATCCATCAGTCCAGCCATCTGTCTGTCAGTCCATCCATCTGTACGTCCATTGGTCCATACGCCTGTCTGTTGTTCCACCCATTGGTCCTTATGCCTGTCTGTTGGTCTGCCCACTGGTCCGTCTGTCCATCCATTCGTCCATCTGCCGGTGTGTCCGTCCGTCTGTTTGTCCGTCTGTCGTTCCGTCCACCCATCTGCCCACCTACCTGTCCATCCGTCAGTCCGTCCATCTGTCCA